AGGAGGGAGAGGAAGGGAGGAGGAGAAAGGGGAGGAGGGGGAGGATGAAGAGGAAGAGGAGGAGGAGGAGGGGGAGGAGGGGGAGGAGGAGGAGAAAAGATGAGTCTCTTGCCAGCTCACTCTTCCTCACTTTCCAGTGGCTCCTTGTCCTGGGGTCACCTGCCAATTCCCAAGTCCCATGGCTACGGCTCAGCCTTCCTTTTACTTGACCCCTTGACAAACTCCATCTTGGTGACCAACACCATCCTTCTGGGAAGCATCTCCATTGGCTAGTCCCTGCCACCAAGCACAGCTGCTCTGGCCACCTTCCCTCCCTCCGTGGCCCCCACCCACCCCTGCCACCTCTGTCCCCTGCCTGCCACTGCCTGGGCTCCCTGCTTCCATCCCCACAGACTGAGGGTCCTCACTGAGGCCTAAGTCGCGCGCTGGCCCTCTGCCCGGGCTCCAGCCCATCAGGACACAGCGAAGTCCTTTCCCCTCTGCCAGACTCCCAGGTGCCTCACCGACTCCTTCAGGACTCAGCTCCTCCGCCCCGTGTCACCTTCTCAGAGAGGTGCTCCTGTCCACCCCAGGTCTGAGAGCCCTCCTGTCCCCTCCCTCCCTTCCTGGCGCCCTCGCCGCTGTTTCCTAAGGAGCACTCGTCCTGGTCTGGTCCCCCAGAGGACGGGCGCCGTGTCTGGCTCACTGGGTTCCCAGGGCCTCCACCCTCATGGTGACAGACTGAGGAAGGTGACAGATATGTTGGTAGATATCTGCGAGGGAGTGAAGGTGTGGCCGTCCCCTCATCCCTCTATCTCCACTCAGCAATGTCACCGATTCACTCCTGACGGGATCCTGAGTCCCGAACCCGACTCCCCACAGGAAGTGCCCCCAACGGGCACCCAGGGCCTGTGGGCGTGACCCCAGGGCTGCCTGGGACTCCGCTCCTCGGCCGTCTCTGTCTAGGACGTCACACCACCCAGCTCTGGGGGTCTGCTTGGCTCCCTGCGCAGCTCCAGGCAGCAGGTCCCACCTGTCACCTGTCTTCCCATCCCTGGCCAGGGCCCTGGCTCAGGCCTCCCTGGTCACCCCAGCACTTGCACCCCAAGTCTCACGCTCTTGTCCCTCTTTTGAGTCCGCTGGGAGCACTGGCTGAGCCAGCACGTGGAGTTGACCCCAAGGGCTCCCTGGCCCGACCCTTCAGCCTGAGGTGGAGTGTCCTCTCTAGGTGTCCATCCGGGGGGTCATCAAGAGCTCCGGGGTGCCCGACCAGTCTGGGTTCACGTCTGACCCTGGCACGCACTTGCCTTTTGACCAAGGATGAGCAGAGGGGAGAAGGTGACAGCATGCTGGCCACAGGTGCACGGCACACAGCCCCACCCCCATCTGAGCGCCGGCCGAGCCCAAGCCCAGTTAATCTTAGTCAAGTTGGTCCAAAGTTGCAGTGTCCCTCGGGCCAGGTTGTCACCCATCCATGCTGGTCTCAATGGGACCCCAATCCTGCTGTGTCTCAGGTGGGATCTAGGCACCCAGCAGAGACAGAGGGTCCGCCATATGGTGATTGCCATACCATCCTCTGGGTAAGGGACCCCTGGCGTGGAGTACCCCATTCATGCTCTTTGATATTCAGGCTGCTGCCAGGTCACCCTGTGTCCAAGGAGCCAGCCAGAAGATCAGAGCCATCTGAGTAAACACACCCCAGCGTCACTCTCCCTGTGTCTGTTCTGTCCCCAGACCCTGGAAGGTGGGGGCCCTGGCTGTGGAGCCAGGGGTCAGAATTCGAGTTCCACTTCTGCCCCTTCCTGGCTGTGTGCCTTGGGGAAAATTGCTTCATGTCTCTGAGGTTCAGTTTTCTCACCTACAGAATGAGGGGACAAGACTGCCCACCTCAGCAAGGATTTAATGAGACGATGCCCAAAAGCCCTTGGCCGGGTGCCAGGCGTAATGCAAGTTCTTGGTACCTGTTGACTGCTTCCGTTAACGGCTCTTACTGGACATGAACGTAGGCCCTGTGGCTTGGGGGTCTCTCCTCCTCCCACCCCACAGTTGAGGCACGCAATCCCTGGCTCCTTGGAACAACGCTCTCCCCCTGGTCCCAGCTGGGATGCTCACCACCTTCCCAGGCTGTGACCAGGACCTTCCTCTGGTTCTTCTCCTGGTCTGGGAGGCTGAGTCAGGAGGATCCTGAGTTCAGCAACTTGGCAAGGCCCTATCTTCAAATAAAATAAGAAAAAGAGCTGGGGATATGGCTCAGCGGTAGAGCACCTCTGGGTTCAGACGGAAGGAGGGAAGGAAGGAGGGAAGGAAGGCTGATTCCGCTCACCTGGGAGAAGGAGGGAGCGCTCCCTGGGTGAGTTCCCAGCAGCTGAGCTTGCGCAGTCCACGCCCCCAACTCCCCTCCTGTTCTTCAGTGTACAGATGAGGAGACCGAGGCTGGGAGGTGGTGGGATGTGACTGGCCCTGGTCATGCAGCAGTGGTAGAGCGCCTCTGGGTTCAGTGCAGATCCTTCCTCCAGACTCTGGACAGAGTCAAGGGGACAGGGAGCCAAGTTCTGGAGACAGCGGGCAGCTCCCTTCACCTCCCAATGGACCTTCAAGTCCAGGCAGGCAGCTGGTGGGGGCCTACGGCCCTGTGCAGAGTGCA